GATAAGAGTGACAAACGAGCACACAGTCCACCTGATGGTAAGTGGTTCCTGTGGCCATAAACATCTACATGTGTTTAAGAAGGAAGTTCTTGAAATACTTGAAGGAAATGGTTAATATGTATATTGAACACACACACAAACCCACACAGACACACACACACACACACACACACACACACACACACACACACACACACACACACACAAGCGCGCGCGCACGAGCACACAGATCAGAGAGAAAGATAGACGCGCTGTTTTTAATTGTTAATTCTAAAATTGTATGTTTTTGTGGCTCAAACTTATTGATTGTCGGTCGATTAAATTAAGTTAAAAAATGTATACAGTAGATCCGTTATTGGCTATAAGTTTATTTCTTAAGTTCATTTACATTGTAATTAGGGCTGTGGACCTTGTAATAAATAAATAAATATATCTATCTTCGATTACGAATCAAAATGCAGATGCGTTGTCACCCGTGAGGACTAAGATGGAATGCCTCGTTCCCAGCAAAAAGGGTCTCCGGTTCTCCTACACTCACCATACGAAACACAGTAGCGTTAAGCTGCTATTTTACGCTGGTATTCTGTGAGAGTGTGGTCCTTCCCCGGTCGAGCCGACCCATTCGTGTTACAACCATAACATAGCTGCAACATGGCTCTGCCACGTAAAAAGCCTGACAGCTTTATCGAAAAAATGTACCGTCAGATATATTTTGCCGAGGAAGATCGCGACCTTCAACTTATTTTATGGAGGGAAGATGAATCTCAACCAATAACAACATTGCGCTTACGGTACTGCAAGCACTCGATGTGTTTGTCAGGTGGGTGAAGAATGCAAAGACGAAGCTATAAAGACTGTTATACAGAAGGATTTTTACATCGATGAATTGATAATTGGTTCTAACTGTGAAAAACAATTAAAATATATATACATGCTTTATTTAGCTCTCTTGAGACAAGAGTCAGTCTCAAGAGAGCTAAATAAAGCATATTTTCATTTGAGAAAATACAAAACCTTGTAAATTCAACAGTAAATTTGCCTTGTAAAGGTAAAAGGCTTGAAAATTTAACGATTAGTGAATCTTCAAGCACGCTGCGATTGAGGTGAAATCCCTATAATGATAAATGACACTTTCCTATAATCCTCCCCCCTACAAACTTACACGGTCCTAAGAGGTATGTCATGTTCAATGCATTTAAGATATTTTTAATAAATTTATTATATATAAAAGTCTCTTTAAAAATATAATAAATTATTTTTTTAAGAGACTATAGAAAGAGGTATGTAAGGATCGTGACACTTGGCGATCTGTTCTCTCTGGCTACCCCGTCAGGGATTGTGCGTGAAGATAAGTAAGTAAGTAAGAGACTTTGACCCCTTAGGTCTTTCTAAATCCATGTGTCATTGTACCTAAAATTCTATTACAAAAAATTTTACAGCATAAAGTAGACTGAAATAAGCCAGTTCCATCAAACATCAATTCGATTTGGCAAGGCTTTGTAGATTCGCTACATATCTTATCATGATTAAAGATTCCAAGAACAGTTATTTGTAATGCGCCAACTTCTGTTGAAATTCATGTATTCAGTGATGCATTACAGGCAGCTTATGGACCTTGTGTTTATGTTAAGTCCATAAATGCCAATAACAAGATTTTTTTTCACACTTCTATGTACTAAGTTGAAGGTGGCTCCGCTAAAGCCAACCACATTACCGCGACTAGAATGTGCACTGCGTTGCTTTCAGCGCGATTATACAATAGTGTCGTCAAAGCAATAAGAAATAAACCAGACCGTATAATATACTGGTCTCATTCGAGCGTGGTGTTAGGTTAACTGCCACCCAGTTCAAATATACTTAAGTCCTTTGCCGCTGACAGAATTGGTTCAATATTAGAAGAAACAGGACCTTCATCCAGGCATTATGTACCCACTGCTAGCAACCCGGCAGATCTTATATCCAGAGGTGTTAGTGCTACTCAGCTCATAAATTCAAATCTGTGGTGATCAGGTCAGGGCCCAGTTTCTTATATTTTGATCATTCTTTATGGCCTGTTTTACAAACCCAACAAACATGTGCACCGTCAAAATTTTGACGATACCAAAAACTTTCTCATTGTATACATTCACAGGATAAAATGGTAGATTGTACTCTTAGGTCTTCAGTATAATTTGTTTAAAATGATATTTTGTTTGATATTTATGTGGCCTATGGTACCTAATACCTACTAAAGTCTTTTAGATAACCGGCTTTTTTCTTGTTCGGGCGCCTGGAAGTCGTTTACTCTGTGTGCGAGACCATTAGTAATGACTCCAAAAGCATTACATAGACGCAACCTGAAGGGAAATGGGTTATGAAGAACAAGAATCAGAACGGCTCCAAAACACAAGCGTGTCTCTTCACTGCAAGAAGGAGCCAGCTCATCTTGACTCCTTCTTTCCGAAATGTATCACTGGAATACACCGGCCGCCTTCAGTTGTTGGGTGTTTAGATAACCTCAAAGCTAAACCTCGGGTGGTTCATTGACTCCAAGGCCAAAGCAACTGCAAAGAAGCTAGAATTCCTTGCAAAGGTGCGGCGATACTTACGCCGGGATAGCTGCTTACTTTATATAAAGCACAAGTCCAGTCGTATGGAGTATTGCAGCCATATATGGGCTGGTGCTGCAAAATGCCACCTAGCAGCTTTGGACTCAATGCAATGTGAGTGTCTTCAAGGCAAGAGTGAATAGGCTTTTGTTAAGTCAGTGCGCTTCATCATCTTAAGCTACATCACCACTTACCATCAGGAAGGATTGTAGTTAAGTGCTGGCTTAGTATAATATTAAAAAATGCGGTGGACATTTTTGTTTCGCACCTTGGGAAAAGTGCCACCATTGAGGACGGAATTGTAGTGCTTCTGAAGGACTTCCAGTATCGGTTTTCCACCCGCTTGTCTGAGTATGGAGGACGTGGTGCATTACAATCTTCTAGGCACTGAAAACGATTTTGTAATTCGAGCTGAAAGTTTTCGGGGTTTTGGATGAGACCTCGAGGGGGACGGAGCATTGACTTCAATTGACGTAACCTCTATAACTTAATTTTAAGGTTTATCTATGGTATACCTCTCACCATTCGGGGATCTGTACCAGTTTTCATCCTAGCGATCACTGAGACATCACCGAACAGTTGCCGCCTGGTTGTCATAATGAAGACAATCTCATTTTTCGTCGAAACGTCGCGACTAGACCAGGTCCACAATCTAACATATATAAGGTTTAAAGACTTACTTTACGAAAGAAAAATGCTTTTAATTTAGTATTCATCGATTTAAAAAATGTACCCGATGCACTGGATGCGTTAAATAATACATTTGATACGTTTATAAAGAAATACTCTTCGAATATACATATGCAAGCTATTATGTATACTCTATCAAAATACTACATAAATATAGATGATATTAACGAAAACTAAGTTAACATAACAGTAAATCTTGATAAATAAAACGCCATTATGAGACTCTGAATAGCTTATTTTTATTTTTCAAAATAAATAACAAAAAACTATCGCATTGGAGTCACAAAAAGAGCAATCTAACAGTCAATTTATAACAATTAACAAAATTATAAATATCACAGAAATTAATACTTATTACTTTTAAGTATATATAATAAACATAATCTGCCTGACTGTCATGCCTTTCTACTCGAAAGAGGCTAAGTTAGACTAAAATGACTGCCATCTAAAACATACATGACTAGATTTAAAAAATAATGATATTTATTTATTATCAAGTTCAAGTTCCAAATATAAAAATGGCGTCTACTCAACTATAAAATACATATCTGATTTTTAATAGACGCTACAAAAAATGATTTGATGGATTTTATTTTATCGAGCGGATATACGCAAGGTGATTTTTTACCAACTTTAGTATAATGGATTCCCGCAAAGTAACGCCTGATTCTATTAATTATTTCCATAGTATAGCCTCTTACGACGACGAAGTGTGACTCTATATATAATGTACTCTGTGGTGTGACTGTTCTTACCATGAAGCAATTAGCTTCATGGTTCTTACACTCTTACACCGCCATCTCACCGCATTCTTGCTAGTTATTAAAAAAAAACTTAATATAAATTAAGTCATAAAAAACTTGTATACTTATAGTTGGGTACGTAAACAAAAGTATTGCAAAAGTAAAAAATGGCGAATGTAAGGAATAAATAACTTAATAGCCAATACAATTCGAAGTATAACTACATCAACTATAGGAATGTTGCGGATGCAGATTTTTTTAAGATCCGCGGATGCGAATCTTTTGAAAGTCAAATCCGCGGATGCGAATATTACGGCTTTATAAGGTAAAGTTAATTTAACTGTACACACGAACAAATGAAAGAGATGGTATTTTTAGGGGTATTATTTTCATTTATGGTATGAATATTTAAAAATTGATGTTAGGTAGCGAAAGTACCTTACACGCACACAACACTTGGTGCACACTCACTGGCCCCCGCCCAATTTTTTGTCGCCACTTGTAGGTACCACTTCCATATCCGCGAAAGCTCCGCTTTGATTATTGCAGATGCGGTAGCGGATGCCAATACCAAATCAATGCATAAGTTCCGGAATTGCTAATGCAGATAAAAATATCTGCAAACTCCATTGTCCAAATCAATGCAAATAGTTCGCAATTGAGAATACGGATCCAAATATCCGCATCATCCCCGATTGACACAGCTCTAATTCTACTTTTCTGTTACAAATTAAGAAATGCAGTTATTATTTTAAATCTGCAAAAATAGTTATGACGATTCATTATTATTTTTTAAACTGCGAAAATAATTAAACAAAAATCACAGTTCATATCTTTGGCAAAAATTTTACCTAATATTACTCAGAATATAGTTAAAATTTGTATTTCCTATTTTTAAATAAATAAGTTACGTGAATGAGATCCATAATTATAGTAATACTGGATAGGTACATCAAATTTTTCTCATAATTATCACAAATTAATCAATGACAAGCGCCATAAGTTTCGAGGACTTGGTGTCTTCTTCTACGCCGGGAAACACGAAGCCTTTCTGCGCCAATTCTTCATATGTAATCTCGAAAAGATCCGCGAAGCCAGCTTTCTTCGCAACAGCTTGTGAAGCGGCGGCGGTGAAAACCGTCGCGGTGACTTTTATTCCAAGAGCCTTGCAGAGAGGAACCCTGTAAGAATTAGATTTTTAATAATTTGAGTTAATTTTTCGCCATCAGGCAGTCGGCAGAGCGTCGTTCTCTTCAACTGCAAGCCTGCCTAGCACCCTGCTAGGCTTGCAGATAAAGTTAGCGACTTCGTAGAGAAAACTCCTTATTCTGCCTAACACCCCAACCTTTACACCCAATATATGTAAATAAAATTATTAATAAATAGCTTTTGAATTTTTTAATAATATAAACATTTAAATATTTATACAAAATATGCAATAATCAATCAAATGGGACTATTATTATTTGATTTTACACAATTTTGGGAAATACGTACAATCCGTTTTTATTGCCTTGTTATCTGGCAACACATTTCTTTTAATGTGATATATTGGCTGAGTGGTGCCAAATTCTGATTCACAATAATAAAAATGTTTAGTCCTGTTTGCTGGATAATATGCCGCGCTCAGTACGCCGTCCACTTCATAAACTTTTACATCGAGTGTATTTTGGTCTAGTGCTCCACTTACTAACATTCTTTTTATTACTTCGCAACTTCTATGTCGTATTTCGTTACCCCATATATTCAAAATACGCAAAATGAATTTCTTTTTTATCGTATATAACAAATCTAAAACACCGTAGTCAGTTAATTTGTTATGTGAAATATCTAAAGTTTTTATTTTAGAATATGGCAACCCAAAACTTAACGCCTTCGCTCCGATATCTTGAATCCCGTTTCCGGCTATATTTAAATGAAATAACTGTGGCTTTTCTGATAGGTATTTAGCTATTAATTCTGCTCCATAATCACCTATTCTATTGAAGCCTAGATCTAGATGAAGTAGTGAGGTGTTTTTTCTCAAGCCTCTGACTAAATACTCCATATCATGTGAGATTAATTGATTTTTCTGTAAATGCAGTTCCGTAATAATAGAGTTTCTGTCAAGTAAAAATTCAATATGATATGCAAGCCATCTTGTCTCATACGAATAACGATTAAACGAAGGTATGATTCGACTTAAATCGAGAATTTTCAGAGAAGTATTTCCATCATTGTCGCTTCTCAAAGCTGCTATGACCTCTGCTATGCTAGTTAACGTTTGACCAGTTTCGCCTAGATCAAAATATTCAATGCTTTCGTTTTGTTTCAAAAGTTGTGCTAGAAATTTACCGCTCTCAGTACCCAGATCGTTCCCGTTTATTCTTAGCTTTTTTAACTTGATATATTTTGCGTACTTCGCTATATACTCAACGGATTTATAGGTTAAATTATTGTTCATTATGTTAAACTCGGTCACACTAGATCTTCCTTTCACGAGCAATCGTTTAAGTAGTTTAAAGAAGCCGCTATCTGTTATAGCGTTATAGCTCAAATCAATTTTTGTTATCCTTCGAGGTGTTTCTCTTACGTATACGGAAATTGCTGTTGTATCTGTATCCTGAATTCTTCTTTTATACCTATCATAAATATCTTTTCCTTTTAACACTAAATATCCAGTGCCATCCGAGTTTCTCTCAGTAAACAAATTTAAACGAATTTTATTGATTTCGGTGACAGGCAACGGTTTTGGGTCACCAGTTATTTTCTTCAATAATGCTACTTTGTTGCAAATGCATTTACGTTTTTTCTTTGCCAACGCCATATCTTACAACAATTAAAAGTAATAAATACTTCGCATATATTTATTATTCATAAAAAAATATTAAAACATCGGGAATTGTGTCAATTCATTTCCGTCACTCGCAATACGTCATCCAATTTTTGTCATAAACAGTATTAAAAGCGAAAAATATAAAAAGTTTTCATCATGCATCTAAAAACGGTTGATTGCACAGACTGAAGATTTTTTCGGTTAACTTTACTATAATAATTCACTTTTGAAATTATTGTCTGTGATGACTGAATTGTTTGTGATGTAATTTCAACAAATGGAGTTCAATGTAAAGAGAAATCTAAGCTATAATATAATTTTTTCCAAAAAATATGCGAGGTTTGAAAAGTCTAAAAAAAATATTACATAAAAACCTTAAGAAATTAAAAAAAAGGCTTAAAATGTTTTTAAAAATTTTAAACACTATTTTATAAGAAAATTATGAGTATTAAAAATGAGTTGAGTTTATGTTTTTAATAAATATTTTCCTACATACATAAGATTTTTTTTAAATTATAGCATACTATTTCGGTCACTTTTGTGGATTACTTATCACAAAGTATTCATTTAATTTAGGTCTATCGGATATCGTAAAATGATGTGCTACTGTAGCCGTTATCTTGGTATTTCGTCATTTTTAGTAATCATCATTTGAGATTACGAAAAAACGGTATCTAAGTTTAAAATATCACTTCCATGGATGCCACCCACGTGGAAATTTAAAAATTATTAATGTGATTAATTATAATATGTAAATATTTCTTGATCCATGGCAATTATAGCACCAAAAAATGAAGAAGAGATCAATCACAACAAAAGAGAATGCAACGTCGGATAAAATAAAGTCCAATCCTCAGTTGTACGAACAGGCTAAAGCTAATTCTTTAGCTTTAGCCTGTTGGCTAAAGCTAATTCTTTAGCTTTAGCCTGTTAGATAATGTTATAGAAATGAATAAAATGTCAGAAAGAAAACAAAAAAAAAACTGGCCAAGTGCTTGTCGGGCCACACACAATGAGGTAGGGTTCCGTAGTTGCTCGTCACAATATGTGGGCTTTATAATGAACAAAATAAATGAGTTTGCGATTTGAACGCTATAACGATTAAAAATATAAAAATATAAGCCCACATAGGATGATGGTAACTGATGGACATGTTTTCAAATCAGACTTATAGGGAGTGAATTCAAAAAGATTAAAAAAAGTTTTTGAAAATAATACAATTTACACCAAATCATTCACATGCCAAGGTACAAAAATGATCATAGTTGACTATCTATCTATATATTCCCGGCAGTGCAACCCTAAGATATACATATACGACCGTAACAAACCTTCACGTAAACCACCACTGCCCTAAATTATTATTATTATTATCATTAAAACCAAGAGTGTGACGAATGAAACTATATGAGGGTGAGGCTATATGATTGTATCAATATTTTGAAAGTAGTAAGTAGGTAAGAAAAATCTTCCCTGCCTATACCGCAAATGAAAAATTAAAGCTATAGTATTAGTCCGGTTAGGTTAGAAGTCGTTATCTTCATAATATGTTTATTTGTAAGTTTACAATATAATTACAAAGTTATAATGCAGTAGTTTTAGGTCATTTTCTATGAAACTGTAACGTAATTTTTAATAATCCAAGTGCATTATATAAGTTTGTCGACTATTACTCGTTAACTTTTTAATTCTACTTAGCTGTGATAGTTTTCCTTTTAATTTGCTATCTTTTAGGTGGTATAGCCACGCTGCAGCAATGTTATGGTTGTAGCATGAATAGGTCGGCTCAACTAGAGTAGGAACTAAAATAAAATAGCAGCTCAATACTGCTGTGTTTCGTATGTTGAGTGCAGAGAACTAGAGACTCTTTTTACTGGAAACGAGGCATTCCATCGAAGTTCTCAGGGGTGACAACGCATCTGCATTTTAATTCTTAATTGAGTATTAATGTATATAGATGTCTATGGGTCACAGTATCCACTTACCATCAGGGGAATTGTGTGCTCGTTTGTCACCCTTCTTCTATAAAAAGAAAATTTAATTATTACGAGTATTTGAACAAGTTTCATTCCAGTTGACAAATGTGATGAAGAATACACGGAGTTTGTTTAGCCACAGTACAAAGATGTTTCAGATAGTGAAGTTATTACTGTTACTTTATCACAACCACATTGTGGTCGAAGAAATGTTAAAAAAATTATTACGTTCATTCCCTTAATTTCGCTAAAATTATTCTAATGAATAAGATTCTTTGCTGGGTTTGATTTTTATTGAAGACGATTAAGTTGTTACTACTTTTTATTATTTTAATATGGTTTCTTATTTATAACAATTTAAAAAGTCTCAGTTACTTCATTTCGTAAGAGTATTGCGAAGCTATATGCTAACTAAATAATGTTGATTAATAATAATTTAATTACTATTAAAAGGTTGCTTATGTGACCAGATAGAACCGAATAAAATTCATGTCATATAGTTAACATAATATTAATTAGTAAAAAAGTTGAGTCATTCGGCGCTTGGAAACCGGCGCGTCTGAAAAATAAAAACAATGTAGGAAAGAAATACGACATAATTTTCACCCAATAGTATACTATGTTTTAGTATGTAGTTTTTTTTATAGGGTTAGAGGGACAAGACACAGTCCACCTGACGGTAAGTGCTGTGGCCCATAGACATCTACATCCATCCTCGTTTGCGAATCAAAATGTAGATGCGTTGTCAGCCGTGAGGACTAAGATGGAATGCCTCTTTTCCAGTAAAAAGAGTCTCCGGTTCTCTACATTCACCATACTAAACACAGCAGCATTAAGCTGCTATTTTACGCTGGTATTCTGTGAGAGTGTGGTCTTTCCCCCGGTAGAGCCGACCCATTCGTCCTCGGGTGACGACCCGTGAGGACTAAGATGTAATGCATCTGCATTTTGATTTGTTGTCAAGGATAGATGTAGAAGTCTATGGGCCACAACAACCACTTATCATCAGGTGGACTGTGTGCTCGTTTATCACACTTATCCTATGAAAAAAGGGTTAAACGAAAATATTATAATTAAAAAATTATAATTGCAATTTTAAGTGCTGATTTACCACGTCCTCCGCGGTGATGGAAAGCATCGTGATGAAACCTGCGTGTCTGAGAAATAAAAAATTATTTCGAAGACATGTGAAGTCCGCCAACACGCATTGGGGCACCGCGGTGGACACTTCCTTGCCCTAAAACCCTCTCAGAAGTGAGAGGCCTGTGCCCAGCAGTGGGACGTATATAGGCTGTAACTTTACTTTACTTTTCATAAACCATTTATTTAATAAATTTTTCGATTTCTCAAAAAATCCGTAACTTATTGGATTTTTCGATCATTTTTTAAGTGGTAGAGCCATGCTGCAGCTATATGAGTAGTATAGTTGAAGCACGAATGGGTAGGCTCGATCAGGGAAGGACCACGCTCTCACAGAAAACCAGCGTAAAATAGCAGCTTAACGCTGCTGTGTTTCGTATGGTGAGTGTAGAGAACCGGAGACCCTTTTTACTGGAAAAGAGGCATTCCATCTTAGTCCTCACGGGTGACAACGCATCTGCATCTTGAGTCTTTATTGAGGATAGATGTATATGTCTATGGGTCACAGTAACCACTCACCATCAGGTGGACTGTGTGCTCGTTTGTCACTCTATCCTATAAAAAAATATAGCCGTGATCACACCTGGCGTTGCTCCCAATCGGTAAAGCCAGAAGATTAGCCTGAACAAACACACAGACAGACAAGAATGTGAAAAATGGTTGTTTATGTCTTAATAACATGTTCAGCTCAATATAAGGCAACTATTTCGATATTACACACAGACAATTCAATTTAATTTAATAAAGATTTTATGGTAATATATTGAAATTTAATTCCACAATTCAAAGCAATTATCTCTAAGAGGGCGAAGAAATGAGAGATATTTTAAAATTCATCTCATTTCGATAACGCTATGGCATGTACCCGAAGATACCAGGCTTCAATAATAGAGCGCATTGACGGGTATAACAGGAATTTTATCTGCCGACGAGAAAATTCTTGACTTGTCGCCTCCATATTGGAAAATACCAGTACAAATAATTTCCGAATTCTTTGATATATTAAATGATATCTTATTGTTTTATGGGGATTGGACTGGATAGTTTTACGTAACTTTCTCATTCATAGATTAAAAAACAAAAAAAAATTGTTTCGTAATATTTCGAACCAATGTCAATCAATTCCGTGGTGCCAATTAATTCGTCTTTTCTCTTATTATCTCTTATCTTTGACTGCTGTAAATTTGCACAGGTATTATATAAAAATGGCTAGTCCGACAGACGTTGTTGTACTCTTTTAGGTAGGTGGCACGATGACTTTTACTCCAGTCACTTATTAATATAAAATTTATTACTATCTTGACTACAGCGCCACTAAACTTGTGGCACTAAACATAGGTAAAATTAAATCGGCAGAACGTTTAATCTACAAAACACTGCAAATTCTATGTTAAGATATATTCTTTCTTTCCTGTATTTTCATGACAATAGGGGTTTTGGCGGGAACTTGACCGGTGACGGATTACTGCTCCTGTATTATTGTTTAAATAATGGTTTGAAGTGGATTTTGACAAATAAAAGTGGTGCGATTTTGTGTATTAAATGTCTGCGCATGTGAACTATTAGTAGGAACAGTGATCTGATGGTAATGTGATTCTCAAGATAATGTGTTTGTCTGCTTAGGCGCCTTGAGATACCATCTCCAACTGTCAGCTGTCTGCTGACTCAAGTTGCCATCAAAATCTTCCAAGGGCTCCACAATGGGACGCATCGACATATTATTGTGAAGCAGTGTACTTTGAAAGATAATTATACATTGTAACTTCAGGCTCAGAAGGGCTAGAACCCAGAGCCGTAAAGCCAGTTATAAAAAAAAATCATGATAATAACCAAGTAGGGCTTTGTTGTTTTAAGATTGAGAAATATTTAATGCAAAAAGTTTTAATAGTGAATTTTTGCCGCAAACATATCTTACTTTATGAATATGAATCACTTATCCTAACATCACTAATGAACCATCGCCTCGACAAAAATATATTGTGTACCTATATATACCCGCAATCGGAAAATCGTTCAGAAGTTACACGATCACTAACAGACAAATCAACGATAATAATTATTTAAGGAATAGTAACCCGTTAAAATCATCATCTTCTCTTCTCATTCTTCATTATCTATTAATGTGGCGTTATTTAATAATAAAGTAACAATTTTTCGATTTTCCAAAAAAAATTAATATTTTCCGGATAAAATATACCCTAGATAACTCTTGAGATTGTTCTCTCTATTTTCGTGAAGTTTCATTATACTCGGTTCAGCCATTTTGAAGATTAATACTACGAATATCTATACATACAAACAGACAGAGCAAAATTAAAAAAATGCTCAGCTCAATAAAAGGCAGTGATTTCGATATTACAGACAGATACTTTAATTTTATTTATGTGTATAAGCAAATATAAAATATATGCATATCATCTTAACTGCCTTTTACCCTTGTAGAATTGAAAATCTTTAATTCTGTACTTTTTTATTTGTTTCGTATATTAAAACGATAAAGAACCTATGGGTGTTATATCAGTTCTGAAGACTGAGCTGGAACGCCTCAAAGTTTGCAATAATACTGGCTGGCCCGTAACTCTGAACTTTATGTGGTAGAGCCAAGCTGTAGCTATATTATGGTTGTAACACGTTTGGGTCGACTCGACTAGAGAAAGACCACGCTCTCACAGAATACCAGTGATAAATAGCAGCTTAATGCTGCTGTGTTTCGTATGGTGAGTGTAGAGAACCGGAGACCCTTTTTATAGGAAACGAGTCATTCCATCTTAATCCTCAGGGGTGGCAACGCATCTGCATTTTGTTTCTTAATCTAGAATATGGATCATAGCATCCACTTACCATCAGGTGGACTGTGTGCTCGTTTGTCACCCTTATTCTATAAAAAAAACATAGTAGTGAATGCATTTGATACACCTATCCAGACAGATTTTTAGGCCCTAAATGAGGCCTTTCCTTTCACGTAGTATATAAATGCTTTTCAGCCTTACTGGTGAAGTATATTACACTAACATATTGCTTTTATATGGAAGTAAAAGTGACAAACGAGCACACAGTACATCTGATGGTAAGTGGATAAAGCGGCACTATAAATCCAAAATGTAGATGAATTTTGGGTTGTAGTGAATCCTGAGAACTTAATAAATAATTCCTTAACCTGTAAAATGAGTTTTCAGTTCTCTACACTCACCTTACGAACGCAGCAGTATTATGCTGGTATTTTACGCTGGGTTGAGTCAACACATTCGTGCTGCAGACTTAATACCGCTGCCTTGTGTCTGACAATTCGTAAAACATACAAAACATTAGCCACCTCTTTAAAAGATCAGTCGTCTCCAGCTTACAGATCAAGCTCCCATTGATGCAGTAACTCTGGGCTGGTGTGGGCTGGTTCAACTGCCATTCTTCATTACTCTTCGTATTAATTTCCAGCTACACCAACACTTATCAGCAGGTGGGTTAGTAATCAATGATGATGATGCATTAGGATGTTTTATTATTTGCAATTTTAATATATTATTGTTCATTATTGTATATATACCTATGTATTTTAATGAAATGTATAGTATATTATGTACCCGTATATTATCATAGTAAGTATGTATGTAATAGTACGTGCCACAAAATCTCACCACTCCACGGGTTAAATAGCAGAGAATCCCGGTAGGCATTAAGTCCGCCCTTTGTTACCCTATTTATTAAGTTTGAAGTTCAAATAAATAAATAAATAATCATGCTAATAAACCAGTTTATAGTAGACAAAAATCCAAAGACTCACCGCGCCCTCAGTATCTCCTTGCCGATGTTGCAACCCCTCCACTCTGGCACCACCACCAGTCCGTAAGCAGTTAGGTACTTATCCACTCCGTAGTGCTCGAACAAATCGACACTACGTGCAACGAGGTCGACAGCACCGAAAAGCTTCGCCCACACCTTGTCTTCCGACTGGTTAAAGTAAATAATTAACAATAAGTAAAAATCGACTTCAAATTGCTAAAAGAGAAGTTATTTATTTGCTACCCTTAGTAGTGGAATTTTGCCTCCAAATTTATATGGGACCACCCTAGAAGTATATTCTATTTAATAAAAAAAGAATCACCAAAATGGGTTCATAATCTGAAAAGAAAAACACGTTCGAATTGAGAACCTTATGTAAAGTTACAGCCTATATAATTGTGTTCCAAAGCTGGGCCTTTATGCAGCGTGGAGCTTCACATGTCCTCGAAATAATTTATTCCTCGGACAAGGAGGTTTACTCGGTATGTTTTCCTTCTCCGTTGAGTAAGTGGTAATTTAGAACAAAAATTTTAATTGCCCCTGAGCTAAGTTCCGACTAGAACAGATATATTTTTTATTTTTTATAAAACTGGCTTGATAAATGAAATGACAGTCTATCTGATGCTAAGCGTCTACTGCAGTCCATAGACATCTGCAGACAACACTTTTTTTACGTGGTAGAGCCATGCTGCAGCTATATTAGTAATATAGTTGTAGCACGAATGGGTCGGCTCGACCGGGGAAGGACCACGCTCTCACAGAAAACCAGCGTAAAATAGCTGCTTAACGCTGACGTGTTTTGTATGGTGAGTGTAGAGAACCGGATACCCTTTTTACTGGCAAAGAGGCACTCCATCTTAATCCTCACGGGTGACAACGCATCTACATTTTGAGTCTTTATTGAGGATCGATGTAGATGTCTATGGGTCACAGGAACTACTTACCATCAGGTGGACTGTGTGTTCGTTTGTCACCCTATCCTATAAAAAAACTCAAATTCAAGCGAAAAAGGCTACAGATGCGTTTGCAACTTTGAGCTCTACGATAGAATGTTGACAGTCTATAATTATATTGGCTTTCTATAACTTTCAGACTGGAACACAACTGCTTTTTGGCCGTGATTTGACGGCTGATAGGTATTCAGACGGGTATCCTAGCCAGAAAAGAACTCCTGCCACTTAGTAATTAAAGTTAAGGCTGGGTGTTCCAAGCGAATTAGGTATTTACAGGCGGTCGTCGCAAAGATGTAGTCGGGCCGCGCATGTGATCGTGATATTTACAAAATAATTACAAAAATATTGTTTTAAAGTTATAAAGAAATATTTACACAATGAGAAATAAACTCACAAGCTAAAACTTAACTATAGTCTATATAAGTTCTATAAAACTATATTTATTTACAATTTATTTTATTTCCTACATATTATTTACGTAGCAAAAGAGAACCGCGCGCGCAAAAATTCTTCGGCGACGTCCCGCGGGTTATTGGCAAGTGACGCGCGGATCGAAAATCACTTGAATAATCGATAATGATTTGAATAAATGTGACGAAAAAAAACGATTGGGTGGAATCGATTCTAAAATTAATTACCTATAAATTGATATTTTTTATAGAAAAAAAAAGAGTATTAGTGCTTGCTTAAAATTAAATTTGGCTTGTTAAATAACTGCAAATCCAACGCAGTTCGGTAATTTTTTCTATCGAGAAAATTTTATTGTATATTTTTTTCCAGATTCTAAATATAGTAATTTGCTTACCATAAACCAATTTTAAAACGGACAAAAACAGGAACACATAGCCTTAAGAACCTCCGCCCAACTTCTCCCAAACCTTGTCTTTAATTTACAAATATTTCTTTTTAACCGACTTCGAAAAAGAGGAGGTACACAATCTGACTGTATGTTTTTTTGTGTGTTACCTCATAACTTTTTTCTAGGTGAACCGAATTTCATGATTCTTTTTATTTAATCAAGGTTTGACCAGTAGTTTTTGAGTTATCCTTAATAATTATTACAATTTTAAATAATTTTTACACGTGGTAGAGCCATGCTGCAGCTATATTAGTAGTATATATAGTTGTAGCACGAATGGGTCGACTCGACCGGGGAAGGACCACGCTCTCACAGAATACCAGCGTAAAATAGCGGCTTAATGCTGCTGTGTTTCGTATGGTGAGTGTAGAGAACCGGAGACCCATTTTAACTGGAAAACACAAATTCCATCTTAGTCCTCAAGGCTGACAACGCATCTGCATTTTGATTCGCAAACGAGTATAGATGTAGATGTCTATGGGCCACAGCAACCACTTACCATCAGGTGGACTGTGTGCTCGTTTGTCACCCTATTTCTATAAAAAAAATTATATTACATATTAATTTAAAGTGATATAAGCTTGAACTGCAAACTCTGACGATCTGATGGTGGTAGATTTATATCGTCATGGGGTGCTATGCCGTCTTTCTAAATAATGAAATCTAGGTATCATGAATTTGCGTTAATTGTTACGTTTTGCAGGCGGATTGACAGACAGATTAAAAAATGTTTACCATTTTTATGTTTTTTTTTGTTTTTTTTTCTCTAGTAAAGTAGAGGATTAGCAATGTCACCTACAACCCAGGATTTGACAGTGCAACAACAGGTTACCTTGAATGGCTCCTCCTTATCCTCTTTGCACACCACAGTGAGCACGTTCACGCCCACCAGCACCGACGAGCCGTCATCCTTGTCCTCCACACACACCAGTGACAGCTTATCGTTAATAGTCTTCCGCCATAAATTCTCCAGCTCAGCTACGGCCGTGGGATAGTTGTTGATGCCTGTGAAGTTCTCGATATTATTCTCTTAAAAGTTATAGCCTATATACGTCTCACAGCTGGGCCCGGCCCTTTTTTTTTCAAAGTTATATTTCTTATGTCTTTTAACAACCTATGCTTCAGAACTAAGTGAAATCTGTCTGTTAAAGAGCAATTCCAAAAAAAAGTTGTGGTATCGATAAGGCTTTGCTCTTTAATTCTAGAAGCACTTTGGTATCAAGATATTAAAATTTTAGTGTTATGAATTTTGTATATATATTTTTAATGCCATTTAAAAGCACTTTACGTTGGCGTTTGAATGATTTTAACGGATCAGTAAACTGAAGTGGCAATGGGATGTTCTGGATAGCTCGAAGAACTGACAATCGGTGGGGAAGAAATGTTCTCGAGTGGCAGGCTAGTACCGCTAAGTCAAGTGTAGGGCGTCCTCCCTCTAGAAGCTCTAGATGGAGTAACGACAGGAGTGGACCGAGCATGCAGGTAACTCTGGTCCGTGATTTGAGGCACTCCTTGATGAGGCCTATGTTAAGCAGTGGACTTGTGAGAGGCTGCAATGATCGTGAATAATGTTAAACCATTAGCGTTATACATTTCAAATAAAACTATTTTTATACGGATTTTATGGCGTTTAATTAACAATTTTTTATTCCTGAGGTTTCGGGTGCTTTACAGCAACCCATGGTCACGGCCCCCCCGTGACATGGGTTGCTGTAAAGCACCCGACTGATATGTTTGACGTCCCGATAAAAATAGTAAATTAAACGCGATAAAATCCGTAAAGAAATAGTTTTATTCAATGTGTAGTGTTCGCGTAAATATAAGAAATCTTTATACATTTCGTTATAGTGATTGCTCTTTAAATTTTAACCGTAAAAAGGAGGAGGTTCTCAATTCGACTGTATTTTTTTATGTGAGTTACCTCAGAACTTTTTTTTAAGTGAATTGATTTTGACGATTCTTTTTATTTGAAAGCTGGTGCTTCACATGTGGTCCCATATAAATTTGATCTTTTTTATAGGATTAGAGTAACAAACGAGCACACAGTCCACCTGATGGTAAGTGGTTGTGGCCCATAGACATCTACATCTATCTTCGATTACGAATCAAAATTCGTTGTCACTCGTGAGACCTAAGATGGAACGCCTCTTTTCCAGTAAAAAGGGTCTCCGGTTCTCTACACTCACCATACGAAACACAGCAGCGTTAAGCTGATATTTTACGCTGGTATTCTGTGAAAGCGTGGTCCTTCCCCGGTCGAGCCGACTCATTCGTGTTACAACTATACTAATATAGCTGCAGCATGCCTCTACCACGTAAAGAGATGCAAACCTAACCAGTAGTTTTTGAGTTATCTTTGATAATGCGTATTTAATTGACTTCGACTACATTAATGATGTTCTCATTTTATTTATATTGAAGTCGGTTGTACAAAATTTTTAACTTTACCACTTGCTGCTGATGATTGGTTGCGTAAGCAGGTGTGCAAGTGGAACATACGCTCTCAGTTCTTACACCTTTATTATCTTTAACAGTTTGCCTCCAGAATGGTTTCTGATAGTCAGGAGTGTTTGTTACCGAGTAGTGTTATTTTCTGTCGACTTCCAAAAAGGAGACGGTACTCAATTCGAATGTATGTTTTTTTGTAAAGTGTGCTACCTCATAACTTTTTACTGGGTGAACCGATTTCTATGATTCTTGTTTTATTTGAAAGCTGGTACTTTTCGTGTGGTCCCAAATGAATTTGATCAAGGTCAGACCAATAGCTTTTGAGTTATACTTAATAACTTATATTGAAGTCGGCTGTAGAAATTTTTTAATTTTAAATTATATTTAAATAATTTTGAGGATAATTTCTAACAATATAATATAATATAAGAAATATAGATATAGTTAATACCAACTAGCTAATCTGATTTGTTAATTTAGGCTAGGAATTCTCTTTGACGCCTGTAAACAACTGATTCCGATAAGCCCTCCGGTAGTAATTCTTATAAAATAATATTTTATTTCGTAATTTAAGGATTAATTAATTTGCGATCAAACTGATTAAAACTTTTCTGACGATTGCCTATTGCCAGATTTGACGATTGTTCTAGTGGTAATATAGTAAGTACCTCCAAAGTTGCAAACTACTCTTATCACACAATAATTTCTCAACCTGTCATTGAGATTCAGCCCTAACATACTCCTTAATGACCGCATTTCTACAGCATTTATTTAACTCTATTATAATTCTAGGGCTTGAAACTCAGCGGATTTTGTAAATTACTGGTTTACAAGTCTAGGAGCGTTATGTTTTGTATTTCTTATATTTAGAACAAGCGTCCGTGCCACGCAATATAAATACTCCGTGATTTCTTTATTTTACAGAATGGGAGAGGGGCGGGGGGGGGGGACGACAAATGAGCACACCGTCTACCTAGTGCTAAGTGGATGCTGTGGCTCATAGACATTTATCTTCGATTAAGAATCAAAATGCAAATGCATTGTGCGCTAATATGCCCCTGAGGATTACGATGGAATGCTTCGGTTCCAGTAAAAGGGGCTGTGGATTTAGTTGTGGCGATACGTCCTGTCTTATCAGTTAAGGATTACGTTATTATTAATGGTTAATCTGAGCCGACGATGATGACGTACCTATATACTTGCAAGGAGGCTCGTCCCTGGTGAAGTGTTCAGAAAGTAGAGCCAGCGCTGCATCAAACTTATCTTCAGTTAGATCCTGGACCCGGAGGCTGGCTGTAGTGCCATTCCGACGCACGGTGAACCGGTGCCACACCGTTGGGTAAGGTACAGTCGAAGGTCGGATAAACACCATCACCTATGTGATACAATAATATATTATGTATTATCACATCTGCATAGATCGACCCTCACATCTACCGACTTCAATAATTTAAAATTTAAAATTTTGTACAGCCGACTTCAATATAAGTATTAAGAATAACTCAAAAACTATTGGTCTGACCTTGATCAAAAAAACATACAGTCGAATTGAGTACCGTCTCCTTTTTGGAAGTCGGCAGAAAAGGAGCCGGTACTCAATTCGACTGTGTTTTTTTTATGTGTGTTCCCTCATAACTTTTTACTGGCTGAACCGATTTCGATGATTCTTTTTTTTATTTGAAAGCTGGTGCTTCAAATGTTGTCCCATATAAATTTGATTAAGGTCTGACCAATCGTTTTTGAGTTATTCTTAATAATTTATATTGAAATCGGTTGTACAAAATTTTTAATTTTAACTTATTATGGTAGATAAAGTTTAGCTTAGGCTAGTTGGACGCAAAACATCATGAAGTACGAAGGATTTTTTATGGCAGACAGTGTGGCAAGCAAGCATACAGTCCACCTGTGATAAGAGGGTGCTGTTGTGTGTGCATGTTAAAATTTTGGTAAAATTAAAAATTTTGTAAAACCGACTTCAACATAAATTATTAAGGATAGCTCAAAACTAGTAAACTTTTATGTGTGTTATCTCATAACTTTTTACTGGGTGAACCGATTTCAATGATTCTTCTTTTATTTGAAAGCTAGTGTTTCTCGTGTGGTAATTTTATTTTTTTTAGGTTTGACCAATTATTTTTGAGTTATACTTAATAATTTATATTGAAGGTGGTTGTACAAAATTTTAAATGAATGAAGTCTGCAGATGCAGATGCGTTGGCACTCCTAAGCACTGAAATGTCTCGTAACCAGTAAAGTGTCCCCGGTTCTATACACTTATGATACGAAACAGTTATTTGACTCTGGTATTCTGTGCGAATAGTCCTTTCTCGGTTCTGCCAGCCCATTCATGCTGCAACCATAACACAGATGTAGCCAGATACCAGGTAGCACCTACCACGTATGATGTTACTACTTTTATTTTTCCTGTAATTTTAATAACTTAAATCTGTTTTTATAGTAAGAACTGATCTATCTGCAGCTTATCAGCCAAGACTACAAGAATATATATGCCCTGACCAAGTTACAAAACATAAGCCTCCCCAAGGAACACCACAGAATTAAAATAGAAAAGAATAAACATTTTTATTTGCATAAAACCGTAACACTTCAGTTACCGTTACCTTTATAGCTTGTTACCGTCCACTGCTGAACATAGGCCTCCTCCATAGATTGCCTCATAGAGGGGATATTTGCCATAGTTGCCACGCTTGGCAAGCGGGTTCGAAACCGCAGTTTTTTATATTTGGTCGTTATTAGGAAGACCTGCCATATGGCAGGTTTGAAAGATGACCTTATCACAAAAATTGATAAGGGCGTGCTTCGGTGGTTTGGGCACGTTGAGCGAATGAGTGAAGACCGAATGGTGAAGAAAATATATAGCGCGAAAGTTAATATTAAAAGGTGTCGAGGTAGACCGAGACTAACTTTTGAAGACCATGTGAGCAAATTGCTCGAAGAGGGTAGGGTCAAGAGTACTCGGATACCTAGACGTGCATGCATGAAGAAGATAATGAATCTGAAAGAAGCGAAAGAGGTTTGTAAGGATTGTGACACTTGGCGATCTGTTCTCTCTGGCTACCCCGTCAGGGATTGTGCGTGAAGATAAGTAAGTAAGTAAGTAAGTATTAGGAAGACGCTGCTGCCCATCTCCTGATTTGTTTCCCTCTGTTGCGTCTTGCGGCACCCACGGGATGATATGAGGTCGTGGATATTCTTACACTGCCCCTACACAGTAACACTTAGCGGATAATAAGAAGAAAAACTTCACTTCACTTTCTTACGTGGTAGAGCCATGCTGCAGCTAAATTATGGTTGTAGCAGGAATGGGTAGTACCACGCTCTCACAGAATACCAGCGTAAAATAGCAGCTTAATGTTACTGTGTTTCGTATGGTGAGTGTAGAGAACCGGAAACTCTTTTTACTGGAAACGAGGCATTCTATCTTAGCCCTCAGGGGTTATAACGCATCTGCATTTTGATTTTTAATCGAGGATAAATGTAGATGTCTATGGGCCGCAGCATTCACTACCATCAGGTGGACTGTGTGCTCGTTTGTCAACCTTATTGTGTAAAGAAACACTTCGATTTTGATTAAATAACAATATCTTGTCTATTGTGTGTACTTAAGTATATATATCTATATGTGTGTGTATATGTATATTTATGTGTATATATGTATATACAATGTTTTTTAGCCCTTTCTATTTTGATTACTGCTGCACCGTCTCTTGTTTGTATATCTCTGTTTAACCTATTGGTTGACTAGAAGAGAATGCCCTATGGCATTAAGTCCGCCATATACGTGGTAGAGCCATGCTGCAGCTATATTAGTACTATAGTTGTAGCACGAATGGGTCGGCTCGACCGGGGAAGAACCACGCTCTCACAGAAAACCATCGTAAAATAGCAACTTAATGCTGCTGTGTTTCGTATGGTGAGTGTAGAGAACCGGAGACCCTTTTTGATGGCAAAGAGGCATTCCAACTTAGTCCTCACGGGTGACAACGCATCTGCATCTTGAGACTTTATTGAGGATAGATGTAGGTGTCTATGGGTCGCAGTAACCACTTACCATCAGGTGGACTGTGTGCTAGTTTGTTACCCTCTCCTATAAAAAAAATGTACAACTTTGTGCATTAAAAATTAAATAAATAAAATCTTAGTGTAATTAAACTGTGTAGTGTCGGCGTAAAAAACCACCACGAGGATGTCTTAACTCGTAATAGGGAAGTGAAAATTAAAACAGGAGATGGATAGCAACATTTTTCTGATAACATCTTAAAATAACTAAAATTAAATAATTTCAATCACCACGAAACAAAAAGAGCTGATGATCTTCAAACGACTGAACAGATTTTCTTGAGATATAGCTAAGAAAACTCTCGATTAAGGCACCTTACAAATAAAATGAATTTAATAAAAATCGGTTCATCCGTTCAGGAGCTATGATGCCACAGACAGATACACATACATATGCACAGATACTAATAAAAACATAATTTAAAATTAAAAATTTTGTACAACCGACTTCAATATATTAAGAATAACTCAGAAACTATCGATCAGACCTTTATCAAATTTACATGGGAGCATATGTGAAGCACCAGCTTTCAAATAAAAAAAGAATCATCGAAATCGGTTCACCCATTAAAAAGTTATGAGGTAACCATGAAGCAAATATTAGCTTCATGTAGGTAACACACATAAAAAAAACATACAGTCGAATTGAATACTGGCTCCTTTTCTGCCGACTTCCAAAAAGGAGACGGTACTCAATTCAACTGTATGTTTTTTTGTTTTTTTTTTTTTTTCAATTCAGTAGTTTTTGAGTTATTCTTAATAACTTATATTGCAGTCGGTTGTATAAAATTTTTAATTTTTAATTATTGAAGTCGGTAGAAAGCATATAACATCCCTCTGTTTTCGTCGAGGGTTAATATTAAAAAACTGCAATTACTAACGAGACGGGTTGGCAAGCGTGAAAACTATGACAAGTAATCCCCCCCCCCCCCCATAAATTCCTCCTATGAGGGGTTTATGGGGGAGGCCTATGTTCTGAAATGAACTTTCGATAGATAGAATTTGATAGATGAAAAATTATTTAAAAATTGTATAAACGAAATTATGTTTGAAAAAAAAAGTCCCGCTGGGTTTCTTGCTGGTTCTTCCCAGGACAGAGGTATTTTCCGAACCAGTCAGTGGTAGATAAAAAATGACTTTCAATAAGAATTATGTAATAATCGATATTGAATAAAAAATTATTCTATTCTATTCTATTCTATAGGCTGTAATGATGAAAGAAAACCTACCTTAATACTGGAAATAAGGTGTTCCATCTTAGTCCTCAAGGGTGACAATTGCTTCTCAATTGCGGATAGATCTAGATATCTAAGGGACACAGCATCTATTTACCATGAGGTGTACTGAGTGCCCGATTGTCACACATACTCTATAAAAAGAAATATTTTACTCAAATCCGCAAAAAAAAGAATTTAAAAAAAGTTTTTTTAACGTGTTTTCGGCTGTAACTATAATCAATCCGTTCAACAAACTTACCGTTAAGTACGCGAACTTGTGACCAAGTTAGCAGATATAAGTCGATGCTTACGGTTTCCGGACACCCGTCAAATTGGCGACTATCTTAGTGACTAACTGTGCCCGGTGGCGGCCGGGAACGAGCGAATCCAAGGGTAGATATCAGTTGAGCACACACTAAGAGAGTCTGTATATTTTTATTTTTACGAAGAATATATTTTTAAAATTCAGTTCAGTAAAGTCCAAGACTGAACTAATTTTTAAACTTCTTGTAACCATAAAGTGTTGTTACGGAGTTTGGGAGGACCGAGGAGGGTACTGGCCCGGAAGTGGTCCATAGTCAACCTTTTAACACTGGACGGACTAGGTGTAGAAGTGTCCGTTCTCTTCGCAATATAATAAGTATAGTGATGAAGAGGGAGGCCTTTGTTGTATTCTGACGGAGATCCCCGGATCCATTGACTTCACGGCGGGTCTGGGTCTCCAACTGACTAAAACCTTATTATCGAGTACGAATGTAATATGATGTATTCGTATCGCTAGACGTTTCTATAACTTCTATGGAAAAGTTGATACCAGTCAACTTTTGTTGATTTTAAAAATATAATTTATATTATTACTAGCTGACCAGGCAGACTTTGTTCTGCCCTTTTCGACGACCATTGGCTTTCCTAAAAAACACTCCTGAAATTAGCAATAAAAAATTGAGGATCACTTATCAGGATAAAAACTATCCTATCTCTCAAGTTGGACCAACCTGCAGACAGTGTGTAATATTTCATTGAAATCAGTTCAGTAGTTTAGGAGTTCATCGTGGACAAACAATGTGACACGAAA